CTCTGTTCCAAGGCACCTCTGGTTGTATTTAAACTGCCAGTAGTTAGTCACTAGACTACTAACCAGAAGGCTGGCGGTTCCAACCCACCAGCCACTCCTCGGAAGGAAGGTTGGGCAATCTACTTCCGTAGTGATACTGCCTCAGAAACCCAAGGAGGGGTTGCTATGAGTTGGGGCCAACTTGACAGCACATAACAACAACAACAACAACAATAATATAACTGAATATTTTATATTGTATTATGTTATATTAAGGTAACAAGTGTTAGAAAAAAATAAAATGATAAAATATTGTGGAAGTGACCCAAGCTGGAGAAGATAGGTTAGGAAAGGCTTTTATTGGCGACAAAGATAAATACTATTATATACACAACCCTGCAATAGCAGTAAAATCAATCATCTGTGAGTGGATACACAGACACACAAGCTGGACAGGGTGGGAAGGCGAATGGGACCACACCCTTGAATATATCGAGGTTTGACAGAGGTATCTCTATCTCTGTATTTATATGTGCTGCAAATATACCCATGAACGTAGGAGAGTGTCCAGGGGGCAAAGTTGTGAGAACTTTTATTTATAACCAAACACCTTGAGGGAATGAACCATCACTGGAGCTGGGGGCTCAGGAATATAGTCTCGGGGGGACACCAAGGTGAGCTGGCATGACGGAGTCCACAAAGTCAATGTTCTCCATTTGACTTTGCTGAGTAGCTACTGGGGTCATAAAAGCATGTGAGTGGCCACCCTAGGTGGATCTATTGGTCTCTCTCCATTTGCAGCAAAGAAGAGCTAAGAGAATCAGACATAAGGAAATAATTAGTCCAAAGGGCCACGTGAACCCCAGCCTCCACCTTGAGACCAGAAGAACTAGATGGTGCCCAGCTTCCTTTGCTTACCTCTCTAAAAGGGATCACCATTGGAGATCCTGGATAGAGTGGGAGAAAAATGTGAAACAAAACTCAAAATGCTAAGACAGACCAGCCTTCCTGGTTTGATGGAGACTGGGCGAACTCCCGGGACTACGGCCCTGAGTCACCCCTGCGGCCTGGAACTGACCTCACCCCTGTGGCTCAACTTCCTTCCAAATGACGGACAGGTCTGTGAGGTGAACAATGACTTCAGGGAGGGGCACACTCCTTAGAACAATCAACCAGACAAGATCCAAAGGGCAGTGCCCAGGGAGAAAGCCTGGAAGGTCAGAGGACAGAGAAGGATGAAGGGAGATGGGAACGACAGGGAGGAAGTGGGAAGAGAGCTGTTACAGGGTGCAGACTGCACTCAGTACCACCAAACACAATGCGTATGAACTGCTGAATAGAAGCCAATGTGCTCTGTAAACTCTCACCCAAATCACATATATATACACACACACATACACATACACATATGGTGAGAGGGAGAGGAGGCTTCCTCACGGTCTTCGGCTGAGAGTCAGGACCTGTTACCCGTGCCGACTGTCTCACAGCTCGTCTGAGTGGTCTGTGATGACCATTCCCCCCACTTCCCTCCACCCAGTCCAGCCTTGACAGGGCACCAGTCTCCTCACAGTCTGCTCTGAAACCATCCCCACGACAGAAGGACCAAGAAGTTACTCACAGTATTTGCAGTTTATGTAATCCATCAAATGCCTTCCTGGATATGTGTCTGATACAGTTATGCTGCAGAAACCTGGCAGGAATAAGAAAGAAGAGACATGTGATCATGGGTTATGGTCTTTGGGGGACTGCTGACATGTTCTTTACACTTCCTTTCCAAGAAGTTCTGGTGGTGGAATGGTTAAATGCTTGGGTGCTCACCAAAAGGTCGGTGGTTCGAACCCACACCGGGGCTTCACAGGAGACCGACCTGGTGACTTGCTCCCGTAAGGACTGTAGCCTGGATAATCCTATGGGGGCAGGTCTGCTGTGTCACATTGGGTCACTCTGAGCTGAAATGGACTCAGTGACACCTAATAAACAGCACACTTTTTCATCACTTCAAGATAATGTTTGAGAAGCTGGCTTATAAAACATGAAATTCCATTGTCATGTAGCGGGGAGGGGTCCAGAAAGAGGGCCAGGGACCAAGTGGATGCAGGCATCCAAAGGGGCTGTGTTGTGGGGCTCAGGAATCTGCCTTGGCCCAGTGACCCTGTGGTGCTGTGTTCTGAGGAGAAAACCAGTCTTGTGTCTACAAACTGGAACCATGGCACCTTCTGTTCTGATATGAAGGGGGTTGCTATGCTCTCCAGCCAGTCACTGAGTCCATTCTGACTCACAGCACCCCTAGAGGACAGAGTGGAACTGCACCACAGGGTTTCCTAGGCTGTCAGTCTTCACAGAACCAAAGCCCAAACCACACCCACTGCCGTGGAGTCGATTCTGACTCACAGCGCCCCTAGAGGACAAAGTGGAACTGCACCACAGGGTCTCCAAGGCTGTCAATCTTCACAGAAGCAAAGCCCAAACCAAACCCACTGCCA